CACAATAAATACAATTAATTTTAACTGCTGGTTTGTAACACGAATGATTTTAATTAGCAGTGCTTTTATTGTAGTGGGTCTCTGCACAAACTTCATCTCTTTTATGTGGCTGCTGTTTTGTTCTTTGGAAAAGCTTTCAGCTATTAGTGTATACCGCCAGTTTATAATCAGGTTGTGAGGGGATAAAACAGGACGCCAAAGACTTTATGTTCTATACAGAGTCAATAAGAACAGGCTAAAATCTGTACCACTGTTTAGCGGGAGGGATTTTTTCTTCCATTTTTCAAATATTCGTTGCTACAAGGCTCCTTCCAGTCTTAGCATGAAGCTGAAAATGCAGTGTGGTCCAAGCTGCTGGACTATGGGTTGATTTGAAGCCTCCACTCCCTCAGCTTGTGTGTTCCACTCGGGGTAATCACCACTATTGTCTGATCGGAGATCTGTCCATCACCAACTGCAGCGCTTATTGAACCAGACCCCAGGAGAAGTTAAGAAGTTGGCTCCAGCTGCAACTCAAAGCAGAGGTTTGATTGACGCCATCGCTTTTTATTGCTCCGGCGGGAGCGCTAACGTAGACAACTGACCTCCTCCTTTTACAGACAGATTCCGTCTGGTGATTGGCAGGTGTCTGTAGCCGATATGTTTAGATATGCAACCCTTGCATTAACCCTGAGCTGCAGCCCTCCTCCTCCTCCTCCTGCCCGTCGGTTTGAGGATGTTTAGGTTGACATTGAGCTGGCAGCGGAGTGGCAGCTGGTCCTCACTTGCTCGCTTCACCTCTGGTCTCTGGAGACTTCAGCCCAACCAGCCGTTTGTAATTAAAAGCACATAAAGACAGATCAAGCTCTTTCCTTCTCCTTCCATTTAAAAATGCCAGAAGGGAGGAAAACAACCCACTGGATGCTCAGGACCACTGACCTCCGGGGCGAGCGCTTTCACTTTTAAACCTGCAAAAAGTTGCCCTTAATCGCACACCAGCACAATAAACAATGTCTGACAGTGTAGTCTTGGTCAAATTAAATCATATCAGCTCTTCAATCAATCAATTCGTCAAAGGGGGAAAGATTTTTTAAAAATGAACTGAATTGGCCACAGTAACACTGAGCTACCTGTTAGCATTATTGGCCTAAATGAATTATAAATAAACATAAAAACCTCGTATTTGCAACAAAATAAATCATCTGATTCTTCCTTTTTATGGAAATTATGACATCACCGACAAGCGTCCACACACCCATATTTATATCCATCCATCCATCATCTCTACACCTTCATCCTCACTGGGGTCATGGGGGGCTGGAGTCTATCCCAGCTGATTAGGGTGAAGGCAGTGGACACCCTGGACAGGTCACCAGTCTATCACAGGGCTACACTTAGAGACAGACAACCAAGCACACTCACATTCACACCTACGGACAATTTAGAATCACCAATTAACCTCAACATGTTTCTGGACTGTGGGAGGAAACCAGAGAACCCGGAGAGAACCCACGCTGCACGGGGAGAACATGGAGACTCCACGCAGAAAGATCCTCACTGGGACGCAAACCAGCGACCTTCTAGCTGCGAGGCGACGGTGCTAACCACCGCTCCACCATGCAGCCCATCCAGATTTATATGATTTCCCTAAATATACATCAACTTGTGATACAGCAAGAACTACAGAGGAACATAATGCAAACTATATGTCCTGTAAATGAGAATCTAGTTGGACGAGAGCACATGGACCAGTCAGCCTGGAGACTGCAGCCCGACTGATTTTATTCAGATTCACCATAACATTTTCTTGCAAAGCTTTTCTATAAATCCTGAATTTATGTGTTTTCATCTACATTCTGTGATTGGGTTTTTTAAATTTCTATCTGGATAAAATTTACCAACATGCTGATTTTTTTTTAAACATTACAAATCTACCAAATGTTCTTCATGAAACCGAACACGTTGGTGAAGAATCCCCTCCAGCCAAACCCCAAATATGGGATGAAAAGAGAGAAATTTAGAGATTTCGACAAGGTTTTGCGTAACATGGCATTATTTACAGTTTTAGGAATTTTAATTTAATACTCAAGATTTTCCGTTTAGTGCCGCTTTAGCAACATGAACGCTGACAGTAAGTCTTCATGAGCTGAAATGAACAGAATACAAGTCAGAAACAGTGAACGTGCTCGCTCGCGTCCACTGCGGGGACCGTATTCAATTCGAGGCATGAATTGTGATTTGTATTTTCCTTTTTCCAGCTTGGCTGTGTTGCCAGCACCAGGAGTCTACATATCTATCAGGAGGCTGACAGATAGCCACCCCTGAAAGCTTCGACCTAGAAACCAACATCCGTGACCTTCATGGTGCTTCTGCATTTAGGTGGACAGAAGCCATTCTCTGCTTCAAAGCATTTTAAAATTGGGGTCCTGAAAGGTGCAACCTAGATGTGTGAAGCCAAAGAGAGCCTAAAATTTCACCCAACTGAAATCCCCACATTGTAATACCCAAGTCTCTCCCTGTCAGAGAGAAACAGGCGCGCACGGTGTCGACTATTAGCATAGAGAAAGCTTGGCTGTCTGCAGAGCTGCTATTGTCTGTCTGGCTGTGTCTATCTCCTCTCACGTGCCCGTTGGAGCTTTTCTTCCCTTCAACCTGCTGCAGTCACACTCTTTCAATCAACACAGTCAAAGCAGCCTATGCATATTTACCAGCACCGATGTTAATGTGCGCTCTCGCCGGCACATACTTGTATTTACCAGCGCTGCTACTCCTCCCTATTTCAGATTTATTAAGAGCTCGTTGAGGTATTATCGATGTGGCAGCAGCTCTCAGGCTCCAGGGCAATTGCACACTGCTATAATTAGCAGGAAGAACATTGCTGTGTATTGGACATTTCAAGTTTTGTATTGTTAGCTGGACAAAGAAGCGATTTAAAGACATCTCTGTGGGCTCTCTGGAGAGGTGATTTTTTTCTTTTTTTTCCACAGTTTTGTTTCCAGTTAATACATTGAACCAGTGTTTCTCAACTCGGGGGTCGTGACCCTCACAAGGAGATACGAGATGAGTAGTTGCACAATGATGGAAATAAAGGAGGGACAGTAAACCATATTTCTTCTTCGCAAAGTTCAGACTTTCCTTTAATGCTTGCTCCTTTTTTAGGGGATAATTTTATCTCTTTAAAGATAAAGCGGGAAATACCAGTGTTTGCTTGAAACGTAGAATAATCTTTCAGAAATCCCACCAACTCCCCAAAAAGCCACAGTCATCAAAGTGCACACTTGGCCTGGGTGGATGTGATTCAGAAACATGTGACTCTCATGATCGCTTCACAAACAGTTCTCTGTATTTCCATGCAGCTTGTGAGGCGCTGGCGTGAGGTTGCCACCCTTGTCTCTCCAGGCGCCCGCTGGTCGTTCACCACGGCCCCGGGGGCAACAGAGTGGAAACACAGCAATCCTGGCACTGCCACTCTGAGTTCATTCACCGTGGAGCGCACCAGTCTCCCCGATCCATCTGTCACTCCGCTCCCATAATCCCCTGCTCCTGTAACCCTTCTAATGACACATATTTGCCCCAAAACAATGGAGGGAACCAACAGGGTTCTGTTCAGCGAATGTCTAAAGGCGAATACGAGCATTTGTTGAGCTTGTGTTAATCAAGGTCACCGTAATTTAACACATTAGAGGCAATTATCTTGTCTGCATACTATGGTATTGTCACAAACATTGTCTCTGTGATTGTTTTATTGTGTCAGAGCGTATTGTTTCCATATGATGGTGCAGAATGGCGTTGTAATGGCTCTCATTGTGTGTCGACAAACAAGTGCAAGCTCCGGTGTATCGCATGACACCGTGCTCATGTTTAACCCCTATCGCTCACGTCGGTTAAACCACTTTTCATGATCGTTTATGAAGGACGAGGTACACAGAGCATTTCCGAGCAATTACATTGACAGCAACAGACAGGTAAATCACAGGACGCGTCAACTCGCTCCACTCTGATTGGATTGGGAGAATGATAATGGATGTACGCTGGCACGCGCCTCCACCGCTGACATTCTGACATGCATTTTTGGCATATTTCTGATTTTTCCCCCCCAAAAAAGAAGCCTGTTTGATATGCTTTCCCCACTCCTCTCTGACTGGTGCGTTTGTTCTCCAGCCCTGCCGCGTGTCATAATGGGCTGAGGCAAATCACTTCCAGCTTAGAGCCCAGATAGTGATTGTATAAAACTGACCCCTAACAAGCTGTCAGTTCACATTTGATAAAGCATACATCAGCGCCGGCCAGCTTGGCATCCACTTGGGCAGAGCAGGCAGGTCTTAATCGTGCATACTCCTGTGTGTCTTCCCCTCGTCTCTCTGTGTTTTCCTACATTGTTAGACTTTGTTGGCTCACACTAATGATGATGGCATCCAGTGGAGCTGCAACCTGATACAGACAGTCTGGATTCCACTGCAGTGTTGTACAGCCACAAAGATATCTGTTCACATCGATAATGGGTAGAAAGATGGAGTGCTACCTCTGTGTTTTTTTTTTCCTATTACATCAGCTCCAGTGCTGCTGAAATCTTCACTTCCCCAGTCACCACATAGAGGGCGCTCCTGCGCGCTGGGAAACCAAACCGTGGAAATGCTGAATGAGTGAGAGTGTGTGTATGAGCAGGAGAGAGAGAGAGAGAGAGAGAGAGAGAGAGGTGCGGGTGGACGAATTCACATCGTGGGGGAGTAATAATGTCACACAAACCAGCAGCAAAGAACCGTGCAGCAGGTTTGACAGACGCTTTTCCGTTGCGCACCAACTTTGGACAAGTCGGTGGGAACCCGGTGACCCATTGAATGCCCCGAGGCTGCGCGACAAGTTAGGAGAGAGAGGGGGGTGGAGGAAAAAAAAAAAAGGACTCGTATCACTATTTTTTAAATGGGTACAGTGAGATTTTGGGGGGCGTGGACGGCAGAGAAGCAGCAGCAGCAGCAGCGGCGGCGGCAGCGAGCATGTTGGCGCTTGGCTGCGGTTCCAGTGTGGTGATGTGCCGGCTGGAGGATCTGGACTACGCGTAGACTGTTGGACACTGTGGTTGCCGTGCAGCGTTCGGACTTTCTTGTCATTTTGAATCGTTGTTTGGATGTATTTCTTCTTGGCGAAGACTCGAGGGACGGAGCTGTTAAATGCGCTCCGTGCGTAACGGAGGAAATCTGCTCAAGCAGCTGTTTGAATGACAGTAGTTTTTGATCCTTATCTGTTTAAGGGAGCCTAATTATTTAAAGTGGCTGCGCATGGTAAGTCACCGTCTCGGGTGAAACTCAAGAGGTGTTGATTTCTAAATACTGACAGGTGTTGCAGTCATTGGCACTGTGTTAAGTCACAGTGTGCTTTTTTTTGTGATTTAAAACACCACAGACTCGTAAGGTTGGGTATGCTAACCAAACCTTTGGTATGGATGATCCACAGATTTAATCCAGTTTTTTTTTACGCCCCCAACACTCGGAGGAAACGCACATTGTAACTGACAAACCTTATAATGCGTTTGAAACGCCGGATGGGAAAGTAACAGTCACTTTTCTTATTCCCGAGTTGTAGCCGTTTTGGCAGCAGCCAAAAAAATGACAAGCAACGGACCTGTCATCGTCTACGAGTGGCTGAAGACCCTCCAGCTCTCCCAGTATGTCGAGGCGTTCGTGGATAATGGATATGACGATCTGGAGGTTTGCAAACAAATCGGAGACCCCGACTTGGATGCCATCGGCGTCTACATCCCTCACCACCGGCAGAGGATTCACGACGCGGTGAGGAGGCTGAAGGAGGAAGCCAAAGAGACGGCCAGTGGACTCTACTTCACCCTTGAGCCGATGCCACCCGCAGCAGAGATTTACACCGGGCACATGGTGGAGTACGAGTCCAAACTGCGGGGCTCCAAGTCCTGGACCGAGCCCAACAGCGACCGGGTTGGGCGTAACGGTGGGTACATGGGCGCGCAGAGGAACCTGACGCTGGGCAACAGGAGGGAGCTGGTGATTTACCCCAAGCTGAAGCTGAAGATCATGATTAGGGATAAACTCATCAGAGATGGCATCAACCTGGCCAAGCCGCCCTACTCTAACAAGGTAAGAGGGACCAACTGGTTCATGGCACCAAAAGCACCCATCACCTGCCAACAGACATGCATGACAACCAGTGGATGAAAGCACACTATGCACAGTCCAATGCTGCAAAGTAATCCCATTTATCAAGGCTTTCAGTATGATAGCCACCAAAAATCATTTAAAATCACTCATTTTTAGGCATCACACTGCCTTTATATAAGGTGAGAAGAAGCACTAGATTTAAGAATTTGCTTTCAAAACAATATCCAAACCAATCTTTCAAAGGGAAGGAAGTATTTTCTTCGTAAACAGAGACTGAATGATCTGCAAAGGTGGCTGTTTTTGTAGTGTCAGACACGGCTATACGACACAAAAGCTGCTGCCACGTGCTCGACATCATCCGTCATTTGTATGAAAGCACGCTGTCAGTCAGCTGGAAACATACCTTGTGTAAGAAAAAGGTACATTTCACTCATCTGCTCAACATCAAATAAGCAGCTGAGTCACAGGTAAATGCAGGTGTGACGCCTGAACATTTTCAGGGCCGCTGCACTTTGCTGAAGCCTGAGTGGTGGCTGTCACGGTGAGTGATGGGGAGTGAAGTTGCAGCAGATCGATAAGCAGAAGGTAGAGAGGAGATCCTGAGGAGCTTTCAGCCCGTCTGTGATTCCGCCGTGGGGGGAAAGAAAAAGATTTACACTGTGATTATTAATCTACCCCGACCTCACCTGTCCGCCGACTTGCCTCTGCATTTCAGCGTGGGTGGATCAGCCAGACCCCACAGGCCTGTAAGAGCCCCGGCTCTTTGCTGTGATGAATGGGCACGGGCTGCCGATTTGCTGGGGCAGTAAATGAACAGCGCCCAGCTGGGCAGGCTGTTGCACTCCTGCGAGGAGCCGGGCTGAGAGGGCTTCTTGTTTGCGCAGGACTGATAGTGACCTTCCTTCAGAAGTGTTTGAATCATATGCCTTACCAGCTGAGAGGGCTCCACTGAATTACTGCTGTTTCCATACAGGGGGGGCTTTTGATTGGAGTGTCTGCAGGCTGCTAAGGAGGCAGCAGTCATGTCCTCTTTACTTTTTCCTCGGGCTTTAACATGCACTTTTGTACTGCAGCAACTAAAAATCAAACCTGACACTGCATGTGCAACTTCTGGTAATAACATCCCAGAGTTGGCTTGTTAGCTGGTCAGCAAAACAGACAAACCCGGTCCTTATTCATATTAGTTGCACGTGCTACTGCTGAGCTACTGAATTATTAATTTTTTGCAGAACTCAAGTACTCGCACACAGATTTTGAGCCTGTTGATTAAAGTCTTTTTCAAAGATTGAGTGCGCCTGGGGAATGACGGGAGACACAAGCGTCCAGAGTAATTAAGCGTGCTCTGAAATGTATGGATTTGTCGTAAGGGCTTTGCATCTTCCACCAAATGACCGCTGTGTTTTCTAGAAATCCTGGTTGCGACCTTCGGTTGTGTTTGCATACTAATGTGTGGTTGTGTTCGTAATGTCTTTTCAGGGTTACTTGCCAGGTCAGCTTCAACAAATCCTGGAGCTGCACGTTGATGAAACTGTTCATGACTCTATCCAGATTATCAATCAACTTCCAAATTAGCTTTTTAAACTTGACCACAGCTTTGATGACAGCTTTCTGTGTTTTTTTTTTTTTTTTTTTAATGCTGAGTTTGTCTGTATATTTTTTTTTTTTTTTTTTTTTTAATGCTGAGTTTGTCTGTATATTTTTGCCACTTTGGCTAACTGTGAATCCCACAGAGATTTGGGATTTGTGGGGATTAACTGTCAGACCGGGGCTGAAACAAAGTGTTGGTTCCAGAGGGGTTAAACTATCTTTCCCTTTGAAGGCTGTATTTATTTACAGCCAAAGCTTTGGCATTGGAGCTTTGGAGAGGAATGAGCAGGTCAAGGTCTTTCTGTCTCCCTCACTCTCTGTCTGTGTGAGTGTGAAACCCAGTAGTTTTGAATTGGCTCCAGCCCAGTGCTTTTCTCCCCAGGAGGAGTGAGAGCAGTGTGGGAGATGGAGCTGTGACCAGCTGATAGAGTTTGACTAACTGGACTGTGATTGGTCTGCACATATCTCCCCTCTTTTCTCTCTGCCCTTGAGACGAGATGTCACCCCCAGTGGAGGCGGAGAGCAGAGAGACCGACCGGGGGCAATTACAGGACACACAATGTCAGTCTCCAGGGATCGTCGCTGTGTAGCATAACCAAGATCTCCATCCACATTTACTCTGCGTTCTGGGCTGTCGATACACAGGGCTTTTGTTTTCTTTTTTCTTTTCCTGAGCTATGGTCTCTGTTCATCCTTGTGCGACTGGCTTTTGTCTCCATTGTTTGTCATTAAGTAAAACCATAAGCAATATGAGCACTAACATTCATAAATCCTCTCTGGTGTGTGCTAAATGTCTTCTTGTGAGACAACCCATTATCAAATAATTCACTGAAAGGGCTCTGCTGGGCAGAATAAATACCCATGATCCTTATCAAGGCCGCAGAGACCCCTTGTCTGAGAGACAGAGAGAGAGAGAGTATTATTTGTGATAAACAAACACTTGTGTGCCACGGGTTGCACATTTCTACATCTCTCATCAGGGAACAATAAAAGCAGAGAAGATGACGCTGCCGGTTTGCTTGTTGTTGAATACACTGGAGTGGCAGCGTTAATGCCATCGTCTTTCCTTTGGGTGACACGGCCTCATAAATTTATACAATAAGAAGAGTACATATCGTTAGCCTCATAGCATAATTGCCTAAGTCATTTTTTGGTCAAACTGAGATATTTGTCTAACTTTACTCTCCTATCACTTCTGCATCATCCTGTCTTTCTACCTATGTCATTGGCCAATCACATCTGGTTGAATGTACTGTTAAAAAAATCAATAATAAATACCAATGTTATTTCTAAAAATTGTGTTTTTTCTCATTTCCCAAAAACATGAAAATATGACTTAGGCAAGTATGCTGTGAGGCTAACGATATGTTTTTGACAAACTTGGATGATCCGGCTTTTTTCGGGATTTGTCAAGTGTACAGTTAATGTCCGCTTGATCTTTCACAGAGAGGAAATATGCACTAAATGCAGATGACCTTTTATTTATTAGAGATTTGTACAACTTTACAGGCCCCCCTTCGCTTAAAAAGTGGTCAGTGGTAAATCTCTTGGCTGTTTGAGCTACAAAACTGTTTTCTAATTCCTTTTTTTCTAGTAAGTAGAACGTTTCAGGGACTCACCTAAACTCTGGGTTTAAGGTGTGTTTCTAGCAGCAGGATTTGTGAGATTAAAAATTCTTTGGAAGCCAGTCCAGGTCCAATAGGTACTTTATACCAATACAATATAGACACCTGGATTAACTTTGTACCAGTTTTATGGGAAAAGAAATAGTTTAACACAGATTACTATGCAAATCAGAGATTATATATATATGAACTTGCCTCAAGGGGATGTTTAAAGAGTCTGTGTGTGGTCTGTATGTTCCCCTAATGAACAGAAATAATTCTATCATGTTTAACTCTATTTCCCTCCTGTTTCCGATTGCTTTATCTTCTCCATTGATCTTTTTTTTTATAATCTTGTCAGAGAAATGCCTCTTTTACTTTAAACTCTTTCAATGCGCTCCAACACCAAACTATGTGAAGATGTGTTCTCATCCCGGTCACCGCGGACTGAATCAAGAGACACGGTCAGTCATAATAGCGCCTCATTGTTAGTGCTGTGTGTCAGGAGGAAGTAGAAGCTAAACACTGGGAGATTCTCCATTGTTTGTATGGAAGCTGATGGAGCCACATGTCCTTTCACTGCTGCTCTGTTTTGCATTCCCAATTTCCGTCCATTGAAACAGGCTGTGGAGGCAAGTGTCCAGCATTGTGCTGATGGGTGGGTGATGAAAACCTGGGTATCATGCACGGGGAGGTTGAGAGAGGGTTGTAAATAGATGGGCACATTGTTTTTGAAGGCCGGTAAAGGCTTGGGTCGGGACAAATTGTTAAGTTGTGGGGGGAAAGTTTGGTCTTCGAGGCCTTTCTCTGACCTCACGGAACAGCTGATCAAATGTAGTGGGGTGGCGATCGTGGGAGGCCTGCAGCTTAACCAGCCGGAAGAATGTAAGAAATGCAGTTCAGGTGTTGTTTGCCGGGGGCGGGGGCAGCTTTTAACTTCCCCTAGCAACAAAGAGGAACTCCAGCACCTAACAAGGCCAACACTCACCTCACTTCCTGTTTCACTCCTCTTCTCTTGATTAATATCCCAACAGCCCAGTAGAAATTTGTATTTTTGTTTAAGATAGACCCTCTGTGGTTGCTGAAGGCCCGCAGCTGCCAGCTACCTGGTGAGAAAAATAATTTTAGCAAATCCAAATCATCAAAGCGCTCTCCGCTGCAGCACTGCCAGAACATATAGATCCACAGGCTCACTGCCAGCCACAGCAAAGCTCAGGTATAAACTGAATGAATGCACTTTCCATTCAAGCTTCTGCATTGTGTTTGTACTTGAACCCATTCTGTTTTCCACTACATGTGCATGTGATGTTCTCGATAGCGGAAAACAACAAGGATGTGCACTCAAAGCCATTATTTGAACTTAATATCTGGCAGTCCCAAAACAAAGAGCTTTTTCATTTCCATTGCCTATGAAGCACTCCATTTAGCCTATGCTTTCGTGAACGTCCTCATCATCCGCGCTCATTGCTATAGAGCTGGCATTTCGCCACGAGGAAAAGCCTTTCACAGCAGCCTCCGAGTTTTCCGTGGGCTCTGCTGAAAGCACTGTTTGCTTAGTTTTCATTAAAGGCTCCTTAAAGGCACAATCAAGCAAGGCCTCATGAAGAGGAAGTCATAAAGAAGTCAAGGGCCAGCGCTATTGTCCTGAGAGGACAGAGAAAGTCAATTAACAAAGTGGGCTGCTGTTTGCATTGTGGAAAAGCAGGGTTATATGGAGCACTTTAGAAGGACGGATCACATTCCCGTCAGATGCAGAAGTCACATATCCACTGACATAGAGAGTCTTTTTGTAAACAGCCCATATTTTGGGACTTTAAGCACAAATTTAGCTCTTTGGAAAGCAGCTAAAGATTAATTGCTGTCACA